AAGGGAGATGAGCAGAAAGGGATCCCCAAGTCCAGATAAAAGTAATGAGAATCCCTCTCTTTGAGAACCATGTGTATTTTACCTATCCTGTTAACCACTGTATCCCCCTGCCTCCCACAGAGCCTGGTCCAGCGTGGGTGATGGATACCAGCTGTGGAATGAATGGATGGATGGATGCCTGGGTGAATTTGTAATACTCCTTCATGCCCCCCACCCCCATCACCTTGATCCCACCTCTGCTACATTCTATTTGTCAACATGTAGGCCAGGAGGCAGAAGGGCTTCCTGGGACATTTTGTTTCTGTTCTGGTCTAGGACACAACACGATGACCTGGCAAACAGATGGCTTGATCATTTAACATTGTTCTATTTCAAGCAAAACGTCCTGGCGAGATTGATGCTCAGTGACTCCAACCTGCTACAAGGCTCTTTGGAATGAACGCCTCTGGTTTGGTCCTGCCTGCCAAACACATTCCCCAAGTCCTGTCTTTCCTGGTCCCCCAAGAGGCTGCTGCAAGTGCAAACACACCCTCTTCTTAGCCAAAGGAGAACTGCGGTCTTTACTCTCAAGGCATAAACAGGAGGAGCATCAGTGGAAGTAGCTGCTGGCCTGGGAGGGCCTAGCTTGCTAAGCACTTGCTCCCACCTGGAGAGCCTTGTGGGACTTTGCCACCCTGCCCGCCACAGCTGCTCTCTTCCTGGGAAGGGGGGCCGGAGGCTGTGGGGCTGCTCTGTGTGGACAGAGGCAGGTGAGGCGATGAGGATGGATGCCTGCTCATTGCACTGAAACAAATGACTCCTATGCCCGCCAAACGGATGCCAGAGGAGCTGGGAAACTAAGGACTTTGCTTATGCCTGTGAAAGTACCCGCTGAGAATCGTAGAGCAGGGGGCCTGACGGTGACTGTCAAGGGCTGGACGGTGGCAGGGGTGGGAGTTGGGAAGAGTGCTGGGCTCCACAGCAGCTTCTCAGCCTCTGAGTGACTCTCTGGGCCTTAGTCTTTACAACAAGATACTTAACCTGTGTGGATAGGCACTAGCCAATCAGAACGAAGGAGGGTTTCATTGCCTAGGTTTCATCTGGCCTTAATCCCTTGGCTGCTGGAAGGTAGAGTGATGGGGAGGACTTGGAGGAGGGGCAAGGGTGCAGGAGTGGGCGAGGCCTTGGGGAGCTCAGATCAGCCACGGTTTACCCATCAGTACAGGCCCCTTTCAGTGTTAACAGCCAGCGTGGCCGCACTCCTGCTGGTCAGCTCTGCTGGAAAACACGAGAAAGGCGGGTTCGGTTCTCACACTCTACGTGCATAAGCATCACTGGGGAGCCTGCTGACAACACAGATGCCCGGTTCCCACCTCGAAACGACCGAGGCTCGCTCTCTAGGGCCCACCTGCGGCCCATTAGGCTTCCTCCCGATGCCACGTGACCTGGACCAGCGGATCTCTAAGGATCCAGCTCTGACTGTCAGGGGTTTGCGAGGACTGAGAGGTGAAGCCCGGCACACGGGGTCTAGGGGAACGTGCCCAGGTCAGGGGCAGGTCACGTGACTACGCCAGCCTGTGCAGGTCACGTGACCACGCCAGCCAGGCCAGTCCATTTGAAGCAACCTTGGGCCTGGCCCAGCCCCCGGCATTGCTGCCGCTCTGGAGGGCGGTCCGGTGTGAACCTGAATTTTCAAGAGACGTTGGAAGTCAGGGAGCCACGTCTTGTGTCACAGGTAGGGCATTGCTCTTCCGGCCTCAGAAGCCCTGTCTGCGGCCGGTGGCGGGCAGAGGGGTGTGGCTGGTCCCCCCAGAGGAGGGAAGAGACCAGCCCTAAGTGAGGGTTTGGATGCCCCTTAAGGAGTCCGTGTCCTCAAGTACGGACCTCAGAGCCTGCCCTCAGCAGCTTGCCTAGCACAGAGCTGCCAGGTCGGGTCACAGGCCGAGGGGGCGCCCTTGCTAGGGACTCAGAGTGTAGCCGGGGGGACAGAGCTGTCACGGGAGGAAATGTTTGGCTCAGACGGGAGGTGCTGGGGTCCTGCCAGGATCCCTGGGATGTTCCACAGAGGGGTGGGTTCTCTAGGTATAAGAGAACGTGCCTGCGTCGCTCCATTTAAACTCAATCGCCAGATGCTTCATCCCCTGTCTGGGACAGCCTTCCTCCCACCCCTTTCTCTGTCTGACTCTTACTTGTCCTCCAAGACTCAGCTTAGATTGTGCTATAACCCCCATGACTAGGCCACGCTGGTCTCTTTTAACACCACAGCCCTGGGCGCGCCCTTATTTCAGACTTTCTCACCTGAAATATCAATGGCTTGCTGCCTTAAAAACATGCACGACTAACATTTATTAGGTGTTTGCTCTGTGCCAGCACGGTTTAAGTCACTTTCTAGTATCATCTCTGTTAATCCTCAACAGCCCAATGAAGTTGCACGGCTATCCTCTCTATGTAAGAAAGCAAGGCCCAGAGAGGTTAAGTGACTTGCCCAGCATCACACGGCCAGGAAGTGGTAAATGCGGACTTGCACCCAGTCTGTGTGCAACACCTGCAACCACAGCACCCTGCCGCCTCCCGCAGGCTGAAGCCAGCATCCTGGGTTCATGCAGCGTCGTCCCAAGTGGGATGTGAAGGGAGGCTTGAACTCGGGGGTGTGGGCAGCTATCAGTCTCGCTCTGCCGCTGCCTGTGGGTACTCTCCAGCCTCAGGGTCCTCGGCTCTATAGTGGGGACAGTTATACCTGCCTCATAAGTGTTGGAAATCACTGCGGTGCCTGGCACATAGGCAATGTCTAAAATGTGTTGATGGGATAAATGATTGGAGGTGCCAGTGAGGTAAACTTTTACTGGGAAATAACACCCTCCTGCCCCTTTCAAATCCCCATTAGACTCCACCGAGATGGGATTTGGTTTGATGCTGGACCTGGGCGAAGAGGGTAGGTGGAGTGGGGATGGCCAGCCTTTGGAGTTGTTTACAGTTCTCAGAGAGGTAACCCTATAGAGAGAGTGGACAATGGGAAGAATATTGTTTCATTTGGAAAGCATGAATTGCGTCTCTATTACATCCAAAACAACCTGCTTGACCCCAATGGTTAAAAATGATCTGGATCCATTGCTACTGAGTTGGCTGGTCATGTCCTATACCTGCCATTCTGGGTGTAGACTAGATTGCTAAACTTGTCAGTGTGATTTTTTTTTTTAATAAAGATGAGGTGTAGGAACTCATATCATCCCATGTCTCCCTGTCCTTGTGTCTTTCTCCCATTTCCTCATGTGGGTCATTCAGTGAGGCATGGAATTGGGATGCTGATTCTGTGGGGTAGACATGGGTCTGACCCAGGTCTGACCTCTGTGCAAGGTTCCTTGATAGGATTATGGTTTTGTTTTTGTCTTATTAAGATCTGGAAAAGTGGCGGATGATTCACTTTGTCAAGTGTGTGGGTGGGTATGTACAGTATGTGTTTTTATACCAGGACCTTGAAGAACTGGGAATTCTTCAAGAAAGGGAATGTTGTAAGCAGACCTGCCTTTCTTTAAGGGCACCCAGCATTAGCAGCAAATGGCATTTGTGCATTAAAGTGCCGGCATTGCTGGGCATGCAGTGAATGTGAAATCCCAGCAGTGAAGTTTCATGAGAATGGATGGGGTCTGACAGCTCTGCCTTAGCTCTCGGGGACGCCCTCCTACCGTTTACAAGGCTGCCTGGGAGTCCCGCTCACTTCAGTCCCTTCCTCGTGGGGTCACCTAGTTGTGCAGATTCGTCCTCCTTCCCCCACCTGTCAGGAATGTCAAGGCCAATCTCTCATCTTTGAAATTCTTTCCTGATGGTTTCCCCCAATCCTCTCTTTCTCTTTTTCATCACCTCCCTGCTGTCTCTCTCTCCAGGATTTTCCTCCTCTCCTTCTTCTCCTCCTTTTCCTCTCCAGCATCCTTTGTCTAGCTCAGGGGTGGGGGACCTTTTTTTCTGCCAAAGGACATTTGGATATAACATCATCTCAGGGCCATACAAAATTATTAACTTAAAAATTAGCCTGCTGTATTTGGTCAAACATTTAATCAACTCACCCCTAATGCCTTGGCAGGGCCAGACCAAATGATTTCGTGGGCCTTATACGGCCTGCAGGCCGGATGTTCCCCACCCCTGGTCTAGTCCCCTTGACAGTGGCTTTCCTCTAAGAAGTGCCCCCACACAAGCCTTGGGCTGGCATCTTCCCACGAACACAGATGCCTTATCCTTTAACCGGTGAAACAGCTCATCTTCCCCGAAGGAGAAGGAATTAGAGAAACTAACGAACGTTGCAATGCAAACAGAATATCTACCAAAACCCAAACCCCTCCGCCTACAAGTTATTTGGAAGCTCGCTGTGCTTTCCTGGGGAGGTCAGCCTCCAGCTGGGTGGCTGGTCCATAGCACCACCCAGCATCACACCCACAGCTGCCTGCTCCCTGCTTCTCTCTCGCGTAAGACTCAATGTGGGAAATGGATTGAACACCTTGCAGCAGGATAAGCATTTGATACTAGGTAGTCAGCTTTCCCTCTGACCTTCTCATTTGGAGCAAGGCCTTTGGTATCTATCTCACACCCTCCCCAGAAATTCTCCCCCTGCCCCAGGATTTGGGACTCTGTGGAGGGAAAAGATATGGCAGCTCCTAGTGGCTGGAGTACAGGACCCAGAAGATGGCAGAAGCTTGTGGCGAACAGGGTGGCGAGGTCAAAAAAGCAATGCCAGCACTCCCACCACTGTGCACCCCAGGGTGAAGCCCCTTTTGGGACACCACACCGATTCTACACAGAACACAGGGCAAGAGCGCACACACTCCAGGCTGGGGACGGTGCGGGCGGGATGGTCTCCCACTCTTTGGTCCGAGCAGCGGGCCTTGCTGTGTAGGGTCGTGATTTTGGAAGGCCCCATCTCCCCTCCCGCCCAGGACAGGAGTCCCTGCCCCCACCTCTCCTTTCCCAGAGATAAAATGGGCAGAACAAGGACCCAGGCTCGAGCACCCAAAGAATGGCAGGACACCCTCTGTGGAGGCAGACTGTATTTAAATGCAATTCACCTCTTTGGGGTCTAGGAAAAGCCACCCGTAGATTCATTTGCTGGGAAACATGGTCTGTGTGGCGGAGGCGGAGGACACTGGGGCCGCGGTCTTGCTGAAAGCTGACTTCCTCCGGGGGTCTGTCTGCTGTCCGGAATGGCAGCCGCTGCGGTGGGCGAATAGGATGGTCATCTCCGGGCCCAAGGGGGTGGCTTCAGGCTGGGACCCCTTAGGGGTGGTGGGATGTTCAGGCTTCCCGGAGGTGCTGTGTTTGGTGGGAGGAGGGCTGTAATTCTGAAATCTCACGGTCTTGACTTGCTGTGAGAGAAAGAAGAACAGAGGGACCCAGGTGAGGGGGGAGGCATCCCTGGGACCTGCTTCATGCTGTTTCTCCGCTCTGGCCCCGCCTCAGGGCCTCATGTACGTGTTCATTCAGGAACTGCGTGCGTCTACCACGCGTCCCGCACTCTATGAGGAGCTGCGAACCCAAGAGTGAACACAGTTGCCCTCGACAAAAGGACAATTGTAACCACAAGCGCCAGGATGGGGGACGCATAGATGCTCAGTGCAGACGAGTATGAGACTAAAGCTGGAGGGCGGGTATATCCCGCACTCTGTGAGGAGCTGCGAACCTGAGTGAATACAGTTGCCCTCGACAAAAAGACAATTGTAACCACAAGCGCCAGGATGGGGGACGTATAGATGCTCAATGCAGACGAGTATGAGACTAAAGCTGGAGGGCGGGTATGCAGGGACGGCTTCCTAGAGGCCGAGCGAGTTCCTTTGATAACTGAAGATCCATTAGGAATTCTCTAGAAGAAATCTGGTAGGCCTGCCTGGGAAAGGGACTGAGGCCTGAGAGTCTGGTCTATTCTGGAAAGTCTCAGTTCACCTTCCCTCTCTCCTCTCCGCCCACCCTGGAGGCCTAACTCAAGGCGCCCCCTTCCTGAGGCCCCCCTGCTGATGCCATCTGGACAGCCCCACAGGCTGAGAGGTCCTCAGAGAGGTTTGCAAACTGGACACCTGCGGGCTGACTTTAGCCTGCAGCATGTTTGAGAGCTGTAGGAAGCTGGGAGATCGCACATCGAAATCAGTCGTTCGTGTGTCTCTTTAAAAATCAGAGATCCGGCGCGCTGGGCCTGAGCCCCAGTTTGGCAACAACTGACGAGCAGTCTCTCTCCATAGGGAGGTATGTCCTCTGTTTGCACAGGCCTCGCCTCTCCCTCCTTCCTCCTCTCCTGGCTGTTACCCACCTGCCTGGTGCCCACACGCATCGGCTTTGGTCGGTCCCTCTCTCGGGGCTTAATCAAGTGCTCTGCGTACTGCTTAGGAATGATTTCTTTTTTCCAGGAAATTCGATCCTAGTGTCCCCCACTGAGAATCCAGGTTTCTTCACACTAGACCTTGATCATATCTAGCAGAGGCCTGGGCACTTACTGGACGCTTGCAGTTTGAAGGCTGTATCTAACAGCTTGCGGGGACGGGCAGCTGGGGCCTGGAAGGTTTTGACTTACTTGAAAACTAGAATTCAGGAAAAACAAAACAAAACACCACCTCCTGACATTTCCATCAGTCAGCACGGACTTTTTCCAAATGCCTTTCCCTATAAGCTTAGCGTCAGGAGCATGAGTTTTTGGATTAGATCCGGATTCCACTCCAGACACTTGTGCGTCCGCTGTGTGCCTTTGGGTAATGTGCTCTAGCTCCTTAAGCCTCCACGTCCTCATTTTAAAATGAGGATGACAATGATAATACTACTACTTCAGAGGGTTGTTGTCAGGATGAAACGTGAAGCAATTAGCACAGTGCCTGCCAGGTCATTAGCAGTCAGTCAGTGTGTGACGAAGAGAAGGGGACCGCACCGCCTTTCCAGGTCAGGGGGAATGAGCGGTGGCGGTGATGCTATGATGGTCAAGAAACTAAAAGATAATAAGCATTGCCCAACTTCCTAATGTCACCTCCTCCATCCTCCATCCCTCCTGCTTCAAGGATGTTAACAAAATCTCGTATGTCTTCTAGTGGGAAAAGCCCTGAAGTAGAAATGAACATATTTGATCTCTGCCACAGTTGTCATAATTCAGTGTGACCTTCTTCTATACCACGAACAATTATGTATCAAGCCCTCTGTAAGCGCTGTATACATCTTTACTCACTTAATCTCCACCCCAATCCTATGAGGCTGTTGCTAGTATTCTTACCGCCACCATTCTACAGATTAGAAAAAAAAAAAAGTCTCAGAAAGGGGAAGTGTTTTGGCCAAAGTCACCAGCTAGCAAGCAGCAGAGCTGGAGTTCAAATCCAGATTTCTCTGATGCCAAAGCCATGTTTTTCCCAAGCCACCTTGTGCCTTGAAAGAAGTGTTTGAAATATTCAGAGAGGACGTGAGGATGCAGAGGGGGTTGCATGTAGGGGTCCTTCAGGGGCAGTAATTTTGATTTCTCGTCCACTAAGACTAAAATCTCAGGAGCTGGGACACTGAGCCACGCTAGGGGTCTGAAGAGTCATGGCCCCAAAGTCAGCTCACTCCTACCTTTTCGCTGCTGTTTCTGGAGTTTTCTGGCTTCACCAGGATGGATGGTGGGGCAGATGCAGGCGGTTTGAGTGGAGGCTCGCTCTTGATGGGGATTTCCTTGCCTTCCATGATGATGGAGCTGGCGGTTGAGTGGATCCTGGACTCACTGCCTCTGCTGATGCACGTGAGGGCAGGCTCCCCCGTGGGAGTCGGCTTGGGTCCCATCTCCGCCACCACCATCAAGGGTGAGGAGGGGACCGCCTGTGGCTGGTGGAACTGGAACTGCTGAGGCCGGACGACCTGATATCCCAGAATAGTTAAGTGCTTTCTCAATCTGACCGCACGCACATTCTCTCAGGGTCTTTCAAAGGTGACCTTGTTCTTTTTTTAGTGCTGTTTGCTGATGCTGGCAGCAAGTAAGTGGCTAGCTGAATGTTGGGGGAGGGTGTTAGAAGGTATGTTACTTCCTCTCTCTCTCTCTCTCTCTCTCTCTCACACACACACACACACACACACACACACACACACACACACACTCCTACTCTCTCCCTCCAGACCTTTAAGATGGAAAGTGAAGAAGATAGATCTAGAGACAGCTTCACAGTGAGAAGCAAACAGAGTTGTGCAGACCAAAGAGGAAACAAAAGCCAGAGAACGAGAGAAACCAAGAAGAGAAACTGAGAAACACAAGAGTCAACTGAGAGGGAGGGAGAGGGGAAGGAGAGGCGGGGAGGGGACTCTGGCCAGCGATGTGAAGAACATGCTAACAACAGCTTTAGCTAGATGGTGGTGGGATCGCTTTTAGCTGGGCTTCAGGGCGGGTGGGTGGGATTCTGAGAGAGAGGGTGTGCAGGTGGATGTGGCACCAGAGGGAAGCAGATCTGGAAAGGTGACTCGAGGGAGGTGTGTGCGGATGAGCCTCGCAGAGCTCCTGACACGAATCAGATCTACTCCCAGGGAGCCTGGGACAGGTCAGTCCCCTCAGCCCCCTCATTCGTAAACCGGAGCTAATAGCAGTGCCCTGCAGGGCTGGCGCGAGGATTACATTTTAGGATGTATGCAAAGTGTTAGGACTGCGCCTGGGGCCTAATAAATGGCCCATGCTTGTTAGACATCATTTGTGGGTAAAGGATAGCAAACCCTAAAAATTCGAGGTCTGCCCAGCCGGTGTGACTTAGTGTTTGAGTGTTGACCTATGAAGCAAGAAGTTGTGGTTCAATGCCCGGTCAGGGCACATGCCCGGGTTGCTGGCTGATCCCCAGTGTGGGGCATGCAGGAGGCAGCTGATCAGTGATTCTCTCTCATCATTGATGGTTCTGTCTCTCTCTCCCTTTCTCTCATAAGCTAATAAAAATAAAAATAAAATGCAAGGTCCAGGAGTTTGGTTTTGCCCCTTCCCTAAGCTCCTGTTCTTTTTGTTAACAGAGATCACCTCTCATTGAAAAGCTGTTCCGCTCACATCCCCTGGAGACAGGAGATCCTCACCCCTTGGGAATATGTCCTGTAGGTATTTGGGGAATAGTCAGGAGCTCACGGCACTCAGGGGGCAGGGTGGAGAGACACCCCTGAGAAGCATTGTGGCCATTTCTCCATAAGGGGCCCCAGCACTGAGAGGCACAGGTGGCGTGGCTCAGCCGTTTGTGTCCCGCTCAGGGGCCCGCGCCAAGGCCTTGTTCTGCGCTGTGACTTTTCATCAAGCCGGACGTGAACGTGAAAAGCAGAATGCTCGCCACTCACATTCGGCCTTCTCAGCCGCTGCGAGCAAGCCAGTCACCATTTACAAGTCTGACCTTTCCACATGGATATTTATTTTGCCACGGTCAGCCCTGTGAGGTCATTTCTGCTGTCATTTCTCTTCGCTTCGGGGAGACTGAGAGCTTGACCAGCCTCACCTCGGGAAGGGGGGAGAGAGAGAAAGCCTCCCGGATCTGGAAAAGCCAGAGCGGCACTGGGCAGACGTGGCCTCGGGCTCCCAGAAACGTGTGAAAAATTGCCTTACCTATTTATTTTGTTGGTTCCTAACTGCCAAGAGAGCGAATGCTTTCTCATTGCACGTGCGTGCAATGCAAACAGTCAAAGCTCCGAGTTAATCAAGATGTGCGCAAAGGCAGGGAGCGAGCCCATGAGAGGAAAGTGAGTAGTTGCTGGTGGGACGCACTGCCTGGCTTCCGTAAGTGGTCCAGGCTGAGTCTCCGTGAGCGCAGGCTCCGGATGGGGCAGAGATGGTCTGCTTAGTGGCAGTAGCAGTGATGAGACGGACACAATAATAATACTATAACATAGTTATTTCTCAAGAGCTTATTACGGGCCAGGCTGCGCCATCCGTCTTATGTGGATTATTTTATTAAATCCATACAATAACCCTGATGAGGTTGGTACTGTTTTTATTTCCATTTTCCCCCATTTATTTCCATTTTACGAATGAGAGAACTGAAGACTGAAGAGGTTAGTAACTGGCCCAAGGCTGTTATGGTGGGATCAATTACTGTGTGTGTGTGTGTGGCGGGGGGAGGGTGGGTATAAGGTGGAGGTACTGGAGGGAGAAGCAGGGAGGACAGTCGGTGGAACTGAGAGGCAGGCGTGGTGGCACTGAGGTCCAGCAGGTGACCAGATGAAAGCACTGGGAGTGGGTGGAGCTAAGATATGAATTTTCCTGGGACATTTTCCTGTGTGGCATATTGTCTCACTGTTTTGCTCTGACTAGTCAGTCTTATTGCCTCTTCACATTGAATCATTTTTTTTTTTAAAGATAGCAGAGTCCAGCTCAAATCAGAGGATGCAGAATGAATCAAGTTTACTTTGCCTGGCTCATTGTCTCCTTCTAGAAAGGTGTATAAATAAATAACAGAATCTTGCTGTTTTGTAGGACAATGGGTTTCAAACACTTTATAAAATCCTTGAAAATTAGGCCTTATGTAGGAGTTCAGTGTTTTAGGAGATAAAAACATGGCTTTTAAGAGACAAGCTCTATATTACTGCCATGTGTGCAGGTGGCTGTTATATGGGTAAAAATAAAAGCAAGGTGCAGGACAGTGCCGTGAGTATGATGACAAGGTATAGAAGTACATGGAAGAGAACTTGAGACTGGAAGTGAAGGATATAAGGAGACTTACTTTTGTACAACATAATTCTTTTTTTCTTTAACCTCATGGATATATTAGTTAAATAACAAAATGGGATTCAGAAGCTCTTAGCGTTGACTTCTTAACTTTCTTTTTCTCTCTCCCTCCTTCCTTTCCCTTGTTTTCCTTCTGACACCCCTGAGGGGTTCCCTGGAACATAATTTGAGAAGCACTGCTCCAGCAAGTGCTTTGGTTGTTCCCTCTTAATGAGAGCCAGCATCCACCTTGGCTGTGTTAAAATTACAGGTTGGCACTCTGGGCTGCTGTCCTCCCAGTCAGTCAACGTGCATGTATGAAGTGACCGGAGGGCAGTGACCTTGAGTGGGTCAGTTTGCATCCAGTAGAACAGCTCAGTATTTGGGAATCATAAAAAAACCTTCCACTGAGGCTTGTTTTAAAGCCAAGATCCTTGTTTTTGCAGGAAGCACTCTGTCCACCGAGGTCAATCTCTTCCTCCCCCGCTGCCCCCGCGCCCCCCACCAGTCACTTAGCTCTAGGCACATACTTCTCTGCCACCACTTACTCTTTCTCATGCTGCCCCGTCCTTTCCGGAGAGTGCTCTGTCCTGAAGTGCCCAGGCTGGCTGTGCTCCGCACGGGGTTGACTATGGCCGTGGGCACAAAGACGGACTTGAAGGGGCGGCTTTGTCGGGGATCACCTTCTGAAATGCTGCCTTGGGAGGACACAGAGGAGGTCGACAATGTCCATGTGGCATAGAGACCAGGGCTCCGGGGGTCTGGAAAACTAGATGTCTTTCTGGGTGTGGAAATTGTTTTCAAAAGAAGCAGAGAAAGCAAATGGTCAGTCAAGAGTCCTGTTTTAAAAACCTACCAGCTCCCAGCCGTAGACCAGATGTGGCTCTTCCTCGCCCTCTTTCTACCCATAAATATGCTTTTTGTCAACGACGTGGGCTTAACTACGTAGCCTCGTCCTACGCTTGCTGACTGTGGGTGTGTTGAGGGTCTCATAAGGGTCCTTTCCGTGTTCACCTGGCTTTGCCATGGTGATTCCTTGTCCATTCAGGGACTCTCTGAAGGCAGAGATTTTACATGACCTATGTGTCCTACAGACCTCAATTATGAATAAATGTTTGCTGAGTGGCTGCCATGATGCTTTCAGCCCTGATGCCAGTCATTCTGGCTAACACATATTGAGCACTTACTGTATGCCAGGCAACAGCCAAGTGCTTTGCCCACATGATCTCATGGATTCTTCACAACAGCCCTTTGAGGCAGGTTATTATGAGTACTGCTGTGTTATAGAAGAAAATAAAAGGAGATTTAGAGGTACTTGCCCAAGCAACTACTACTCTACCACTGAGCGACATCACCTGCGCTCTCACCACTGCGTACACAACCTTGGGGCTAGTTAGAGCATTCACCATTTGGTAGCAAGGAAAATCTGCATCCCGCTTGAAAGAAACTGAGTAAAGCAGTGGGTAGGCCCTAAACGTGCCACCATAAGACATCAATTCTTCAGCCTTAGGGTCTGATTTTTAATGCTAGTATCAAATTTTGTAAAACAGCAAGCAACCCCTCCTCCATTGTTCCCAGCCTGCAAGTCCCTGAACCCCGTGGGGAATGGCTGTCAATCTACATGCCCTTCTTGCCCTTGTACCAGTCCTCCCCCAACATCACAGCCTCTCCTAAGCAGCCCATCCGTCACCTTGTCACTCTGTTGATGAAATAACCTCGGCTAATTACCTGGGAATAACCAACTTGACCATGGCCCCCGGCACAGAGATGCCCTCCTCCCTCCTAGTTTCCTGCCTGTCAATGCCTCCAGGTTTCTCTTTGGGTAATTTCCTCTTATTTTCCTCCTTTTCTCTCCTTTTGCTTAAAAGTGATATGTGGTTTAATGATGAGCCGGCCAGGGTTGTACAAAGATGAGTAAGGCATCCTTTAATGTAGCCAATCCTGCCCAAGACAGATATGCAGCCCGATGCACCAGGAGCTGATGGTGGAGGGGAGTGGGCTGCCCACCATGAAGAGCCCACACTACATTGGAGGTGATGGCCGCTGGAGGAGAGAGACCCCCAGCACGAGCTTCCATGACATAGTCTGCATCTGCCTGTCTTTTTTTTTTTTTTTTAAATAGTCAACAGGCTATTTTTAGAGAGAGAGAGGAAGGGAAAAGAGAGAAACATCATGTGAGAATGCAACATTGATCAGCTGCCTCCTACACACTCCCCCATAGAGATCGAGTCCACAACCTGGGCATGTGCTCTGACTGGGAATCAAATCAGCAACCCCTTGGTGCATGGGACAACACCCAACCAGCTGAGCCACACTGGCCAGGGCATGGACCAGCCTGTCTTTTGAATCAAAGCTTTAAGGTGCTAGATGCTGCAAAATGGATTGAAAACAGGAGAGAATGCTTCCAGAACTGTTTCCAGCAGCAGCAGCAGCAGCAGCAGCAGCAGTAGCAGCAGCAGCAGCAGCAAGGAATTAGGCCCAAGCCAGCTTTCTTCACCAGTCCTGTCTTTAAACAGACTGACATTCGACCTCTGTTTTCTAGTCCAGCACTAGGCTGAGTCCAGAAACTCCTAAATCCCAAGTCCTTCATTTAACAAGGGGCCCCTCTGAGTCTTAGCTCAGCACTTCCCTAGCACTTTCTTCTGACATCAGAGCACTTTGCACACAGATATTAATCAATCCCCATGACACCTCAGGCCTGCAGACACCGTGATGCTTGTTTTCTAGTTGGAGAGACTGAGGGACATTCGGGCTTGAGTGCAAGGAGCACGTGTTGCCTCTGATTCGCTCCACGGTGCTGCTTTGAGTGTGCAGGTCCCTGTGTCCTCTCTTCTATCTGTGACATGAGCCCTTAAGAACTTGCCGAATATTTGAAAGGGGCATGGACCTTGACAATTTTTATGTAGTTCTGTGTAGAAAGTTAAAGGAAAATGAGTGCTGGCCCATGAGTCACTGGGAGGGCACGTGTACCAGGTATTGGGAGAAGTTTGCAAGAAAAAGAAATATCCTGGCTAACTGGACAGAAGGGAATTTATGGGGAGGACGGGAGGGTGTGGAAAAGGCCTGGAAACAGGTATAAGGGAAGTTGCTGAGGAATCTGAGGTGGGAAGGGTCTGCTCAGACACTACTGTTTGTGTTTTCACCATGAGTGGTCTTCAGCTTTGCCCACATTCTTTCCTCCCTTGTCCAGGTTTCCAAGTCCCAAGAGAAAGTATCAGGTTGGCTGAGCCTGTCCCTTCGCTGTGGTGATGGGTTGAGGAAGAGGAGGAGGAAGGGGAGTTGTTAATTTCTTCAGTCTCTGAAAAGGGAGGAAACTTCTGCCTCCCATCAAGACTGTGCGCGAAGGAGGAAACTCAAAGGGACGTTGGTGCTATTGAGAAGGGGTTTGTGTGAAAATGAGACAAATGCTCTCAACCACCTGAGCCAGTGGTGCCTCCAGGAACTGGGGAAACACCTCACGGTGGCAGAGATTTAGTTGTTGCTCAACACAGGACAGGCTGGACACCATCTCGCACAGAGGGCTGGAGCTCTGCGTGGCGCAGCAGCCTTTCCCTCTCTTGGTAATGAAGGCTCACTTGGTGAATCTTCAACCAAAAACCTGGCATTTTGGTCACTTCTGGTCTATGTGTAGTTAGCCCTGAAACTGGCTGGCTCAGTCCATTAGGGGATGATGTTAATGAGAGCAATGGTTCAAACGGTCAGGGCGCACCTCACACCTTCGGGCCCTGGCTATTGGTGAAAGGGGACACCACCCACCAAGGGGGCTGGTGCCTGTGCAGAGCCACCACTGCAACAGAAGACAGTGGGGGTGAGGGAACTTCACACACACAGAACCAAAGAGCAGAAACACAAGTGTCCAACCCACTCAGTTCCAATACAACCTGCTTAACGTAGCAGAAACCCAGCTGACAACGGACAGCATCACTCAGCCCTAAGGAGGGGGAGGAACTAAACTCCCCACAGTGGAAAGGGGGGTTAAGAATGAGGGTGAGCTGCCCCCAGATAGACAAATTAGACAAATGTCATCCACGTCCAAGATGAGTGGGGATGGGAACTTTCTCTGTGCCAGGGGGGCCATAGGAAAACGTGTCCACACAGAGAGCATCGACCCTCTGTCACCTCAGGAGGATGTACTGTGGCAGGGATTCGTTCGTCTCGGAAATGCCGGTTCTCTAGAAGCATACCCATCAGCATAAGTAGCACCTCAGTATATGAGCATGTTCAGGTGTCCATGAGCTGGGGTGGGAAGATGGACTGGGTGGCCGTCTAGTGTTGAGACTCTATCCATGTCTGACATGCAGCCAGATTGGAGGGCCTGAGTCTAGATCAGGGGTGGGCAAACTTTTTGACTCGAGGGCCACAATGGGTTCTTAAACTGGACCGGAGGGCCGGAACAAAAGCATGGATGGAGTGTTTGTGTGAACTAATATAAATTCAAAGTAAACATCATTACATAAAAGGGTACGGTCTTTTTTTTTTTTAGTTTTATTCATTTCAAACGGGCCGGATCCGGCCCACAGGCCGTAGTTTGCCCACGGCTGGTCTAGATGCTCTTGATGTGCCCAAGACCACACAGGAGAACAGCCAGGGAGGGGAGAATGGGAAGCTGAAGCTCTGAAACACACTGGAATGGAATTCTATGTGTATTCGAGTTAGGGCGACCACATGTCCAATTTTTCCAGGAGGGTCTCTTTACACCTGCTGTATTAAGAGTGTCCCTCTCTCAGAAGAAGAAGAAGAAAAAGATAAAAAATTATGAACCATAAAATAGTAGTAAATGCTTATCTATCAACAATTGAATCTAAAAATAAAAATAAACGAATAAGAAATCTAATGAACAGAATAAACTGGTGAATAAAATAGAATCAGAGGCATGGAAATGGAACAGGCTGATGATTTTCAGAGGGAATGGGGGTGGGGGCTGGGAAGAGATTAAACAAAGATCTTATATGCTTGTATGAATTACCTATGGACACAGACAATAGGGTGGCAAAGGCCTGGGGAGGGGTGGGGACCAGGTGGAGGGGGACAATGGGGGGAAAAAAAGAGGGACATCTGTAATACTCTCAACAATTAAGATAAAAAAAAAGAGTGTCCCTCTCATCTTAAAAGTGTCCTAGTTTGGATGATAAATTATATGGTCACTCTTAAAAAAAATGTATGTTTTCAGAGAGGAAGGGAGAAGGAGAGAGAGATAGAAACATTAATGATGAGAGAAAATCTGATCAGCTGCCTGCTGCATGGCCCCTACTGGGGATCAAGTCTGAAATACAGGCATGTGCCCTGACGGGGCATCAAACTATGACCTCCTGGTTCATGGGTCGAAGCTCAACCACTGAGCCACACTGACTGGGCATGGTCACTCTTATTCTATCTGTTCTTCCACGGCATAACCAAGACTTTGGGCTAAGGTCTGATGCATAAGCAAATGCCCTAGGAGTACACACATGGCCCTAGAGAATTCATGTTAGATCCCACAGAAGAAACTGTTCATGAGTTAGGGTAGGTGTCCTCCTAGCTCCTCATTGTCACTTCTAGACCATTCTCCCACCCTCCTCTGTATCTCTGAGCTCTGACATATTATCGGACTCTGCCATCTTGTTGCAGTCGTCATTTCTCCTCAGGTCTCTCCTCTCATTCCTGGAAGATTTCAGCTCCAGGCTCACTGCCCTTCTCTCCACTCCACCTGATCCTACCATGGTGATTTCATCTAGAGTTAGGGCTTTAAATGCCATCTCAAGCCTGGACTTCTTCCTTAAATGCTAGACTTGCATATGCAACCACATCTTTATGAGGATTACTAACAGACATTGGGACTTAATCTGCTGCAAACAAAGCTTTCGCTTCCCTTCCATCCCCCAAAACCTGTTCCTGTTTTGGTTTTCACCTCCATAGCAATAAAAGGCAACTCCATCCTACAGTGACTCAAGGCACAGAACTTGGACTCACCTCAAATCCTCTATTCTTTCACACCCAATATTGGATCTGTCAGAAAATCTAGGGTATAACCAGAATCTGATCACACCCGCCTCCCACCATGGCTCACACCCTGGTTCAATTCACCATCACTCTCCCCTGGATTATGATAATATTCCCTTAGTCTCTCTGCTTTGAACTTCTTGTCTCAACAGTTTATTCTCAAGCCAGCAACTAGAGGAATTCCAGTTCAAACTTATATTAGATCATGTCATTCTTCTGCTCAAAACCCTGCAGTAGGGTTAAAGTCAAATTCATTATGACCTAGGAAACGCTCTATGATCTGACCCCCTGTTACCATTCTGACCTCATCTCCTACTAACCTGCTCCTCACTGGCTTTAATTCAGGCCTGTTGGCCTTCACGTCAGGCACAGTCCTACCCCAGGGCCTTTGTTCAGGAATTTGCTGTTCCTTTGGCCTGGAATACACTTCCTTTGGTGACCCACATGGCTCCCCTCCTCATTTCCTCATTCCTCCTCCTTCTCAGTAAGGCCATCCCTGACCAATCTGTTAGAACCTTAATCACCCCCACACGAATTCTATTCCCCTTTCCTGATTTATTTTTCTTCTTAGGCCTCAGCATTAACATACCATACATATTACTTATACAGCTTGTTTTGTGTCTGTCTGTTCCTCTAGTATGTAATCTGTAGGCAGGGATTTGGTGTATTTTGTTCACTGGTGTTTCTCCAGTGTCTAGAAAGGTGACCAACACATGTCAGTGGTCAGCACTCAAAAAATGTTTGTTTAATAAATGAATTAAAGCACCAGTTATAGACACCCTTAGTTTTCTTTTGGAGATTTTGCCACTTTCTAACAAATTTCAAGAACCTTCCTTTGAAGGATAACTAGGATCTTCTGCCCCAACTTTCCACCAATCTTTTTACACAAGCCTGGACCTATGGGAACCCAGACTTCACCTGCACTCTTCCTAGAAAGGGGGTCCACCACCTCACCTGCTAGCCTGATAGGCAGCCTTTCATTGAACCACAACCTCCCACTGGTTCACTGTCCCCTCGTGGAATAAGTCTGTTTCCTGGTCGACACAGTCTGTGATGGTCCCTCTGACCCTTCTTTGTACATCTTACACAATAGCCCTTGCTTATCGGTTTCTTCTCTGACGTGGTTTTGTCTGCTTACCATCCTTGCTGCCCTCCTCCAGACTCAGTGCCTCGCCTACATGAAGGTCCCCCCTGAACTGAACATATGACTCCAGGAGTGAGCCCCAGAGCGTACCATGAGATCATCACTTTCCTTGGGATTGTGACTCTCTGGCATGTCATAAAGACAGCATTTGCTGTGGTGATGGCCTCACTGCCTGGGCTTTGCCTGAGCTGGTAGGAGTACAGGTAGGAGGAGGTGTGGGTAGTTTGGGAGTTTGTGTGCATTGTGGTTGTGGTAGGAGGTGGCTAGACAAACTGTGGGCCAGGGAAATCAACAGGCATGGCAAAGATGACAAAGGTTGGAACAAGTTATTTTGGAAGAAGACCTGCAGGGTAACTAACATGTGACCTGGGGTGTGGATGGACAGGGAGTAGTCTGAATTCACAGAAACTCTGCTCACGGCCCAACTTCCTGGGAAGGTTCCTGAGGTCCTCTGGGTGGTTATCCTGCCAGCACATTTCCCCATTCTGCCACTAGATGGAGTGTTGAGGTGGAGGATGTGAAGTGGGATTTTTGGCATTTGTACAGAAAACCTGAAATCTAGATCCTGGGCAGGTTGCTTAACTCTGTACATCAGTTTCCTCATTTGTAAAATAATATATACCTTAAAGGATTCCTGGGCATAGCTAATGAGTTAAAAAATGCGGAAGTGCTTGTGAACTGTGGAGAACTATAAAAAAGACAACTATTGCCCAGCCAGTGTGGCTCAATGGTTGAGCGTTGACTTGTGAATCAGGTCACGGTTTAATTCTCAGTTAGGGCACATGCCCAGGTTGCGGGTTCGATCCCCAGTGTGGGACGTGCAGGAGGCAGTCAATCAATGATTCTCTCTCATCATTGATGTTTCTATCTCTCCCACCCTTTCCCTTCCTCTCTGAAATCAATAACAATATATTTAAAAAGAAAGATAAAAAAGACAACTATTTTAACTATATACTTTTTAAAATATATATATATTTTATTGATTTTTTACAGAGAGGAAGGGAGAGGGATAGAGAGTTAGAAACATCGATCAGCTGCCTCTTGCACACCCCCTACTGGGGATGTGCCCGCAACCAAGGTACATGCCCTTGACTGGACTCAAACCCGGGACCCTTGAGTCCTCAGGCTGATGCTCTATCCACTGAGCCAAACCGGTTAGGGCACTATATACTGTTTTTAAAATTAAAGTGTTAGGAGGGTAAAAGCTGTTTCTTGGTCCACACTCTGTAAGAGCATTGAGTTGTTCAACAATTCAACCATCCCCAGATGGCCCCGGTCTAGAAGACCCCACCCCCGGGTGCCTGGGATTGGAGGGGACGCACCTGAAAATGGGGATGACGTAGTTGTTGGGGAAGATGCCCACTCGCCCGGTGACCAAGGAGACTCCCTTGAGCCAGCCGTCCTGGTACTTCCCCAGGACCCTGATGCCTTCTCCCCTCTGCAGGTCCAGCTCATCGGGTCCATGGGCGGAGTAGGAGTGTAGAGCTACAAACCTGGGGGACACAGGGCACTGGTGAAGGACAAAGAGTACACCTCTAGGGGAGGGCAGGGGAGTGGCGAAGGGCGAGGGGAGATTGGAACCTTCAGCCCAGTGGTTAGCGATAACAACCTTGCAAAACTGAAACCTCAATATGTAAGGCAGATGAAGATGGCAGAGAACCTGGTCTAAACAGCCGAAGGGGCCCGATCCCTGCCCTCTCCATGCCCCCCGACCTCCGCAGAATGTCACACAACTGCAAGTCACTAGTTTAGGCTACACCAGCATTTTGACAATGGGACACTGGCCTACAGTGGAGAAAGGAGTTGGTGACCAGAAATTAGTGGCAGAGCCAGGTCTCAGCCCCACACGTGCAGCCAGCAGGCTCAGGGAAATGAGAGGTCGGCTGGAAGCCTCGACCCACTCCCTCTCCTGAGAGTAGAAACCTGTTTGCCCCCAGGAGCTAGCTTAACATAGGCAGGGAAGTGGGCACTGGGCTGGGGTGGGGCAGGGTTAGCTCTAGTTCTTTGGCGCACAGCGGGATGCTGGCTGCATGGTGGGATGGAGGGGAATGAGCTTAGTATGGCGAAAATGCCCTCGGTTAGAGCAGTGATTTTCCACTGTGAAGTCCACACAGGGGCCGGGTAGGTCTCACATCCAGGTATGAGTCGGGGATGAAGACACTGGGGAATGGTGAGGCTGTGAGATGAGATACCTGCTGACTAAAGGCATCAGAAAATAGCCCACCTGGCATGCCAGCTTCAGGGGCTGCCGGTGTATGGCCCTCAGGCTAGACCTGAGCAAGTCCTTCTAGATTCTAAGGACTGAGACACTGGAAGGTCTTATCAAATGGGCTGGGGGTGGAGTGTTCTCATCTGCAAGTTCTTCCCCCTAGAAAATGCTACTTTTTTTTTTTCACTGATTACTAAAGCAACATCTATTTATAGCCCACCATGAATCTAAAGGAAGACAATAGAAATTGCTCAGTACACAATTTCCCAGCAATGTTCTGGTATATAACCTTCTAGTCTCTTTCTACTTTGTGAAATAATGAGCTAGGATGACATGCTTTGCTAATTTGTACTTTTCACCGTTATTTCCATTGGCGATTTTAAAGGGAGGGGAGCCGTTGTCTCTCTGGAGGGGAAGGTTTTGGAGTGCTCAATGGCAGAGGGATGGCTAAGATGACTCCTCTGCACCAGGACCGGGTGGAGGGCTGAGCTTTTTACTCACATGTTAGCTGAGAGGTGTTGCTGGGAGCCAGGCAGACTGACGATGGCCATGGAATGTCCTGGGGAGGCAGGTGTGGCGTGATACATGCTGACCTACACAGACAGAAAAGACAGCCATGCTGAGTCAGTGAGCGACACAAGCCAGGCCCACAGCAGAGCTGCTACAGAAAGGCCTGATGCAGCTGGAAACCAAGAGTCGTGCCCAGCGCTACCCATCATGGGCCATGTCTGTGGTTTGTGGGAAGAGCAGGGTGGGAATACATCGGTTTATGTCCTGGGGAGGTGGGGGGATGGGGAGGTGGCTTGCCAAGGCTGCATTCCAAGATTACTCAGGTAAGACTGAGAAAGAAGGCCAGTTGGATTGACAGTCAACAGGGCACTGCCAGACTCCTGGATCTGTCCCCGCCGGCCCCTCCCCACCCATCTCCCAGTGCACGCACCTCCCTCTCTCTGTGAAAACCTGCTCTCAGAATATGATACAATGGTTAATATTGATTGAGAACTTAACACTTGCCAGGCACTTTGAAGTGCTTTACAAGCAAAGGTCATCTTTATTAAGGGTACTGTTATCCCTATTTTTGGATGAGGAACTGAGAGAAAGGTCACCCAACTAGTATGAAACAAAATGTAAAACCAGGTAGCCTAGGTCTGCCCCCTCATCCCCACCTCCCAGCTTATCCAGTGACTTATGGAGGATGACTCTGAACCCTTTTTATGTTTTTTCCAGAACAAAAGAAGGAGCAACAAAGTGATAAGCTCCTGGAAACTGTCTACTCGCCTGGGACTTTGCCTCTTATCTGATTAACTTGCCTAGTTCCTTCTTGGCACGTATCACAGCCTGTGATCATTTCCTCATTTACTAACCATCTCTCCACTAGACTCTTAAGTTCCATGAGGCAGGGACTGCGTCTTGTTCACCACTATATTTATGTGCTCAATATATTGTTGTGGCTTAAAGAACAAGTGAATGAAAAAGTTTTCCTACCAAGGACTAATGAAACCTCATCCATTTCCATGCCATCCAGAGTAAATACATCCAATCTGTCTCAGCTACCCACCCATAAGTGATGGTAACTGTGTATGTGTGCCCTTTTAGGACTCTGGTTTTGGATGCTACTGTTGAGTCTGAGTGTTTGGGCAGGTGTGAATGCATCACTGAGTGCATCTGTCTCCGGCTCTCTGTGCAAGTGTGTATGTTTGTTCAGAATCCATGACAGTTGTATGTGGATGTGTGGTGGCACTGGTCTGTTGTATGTCTGGTTATATTCAGATATGTGGGTCTATAAGTTGATATGCACATATGCCATGTGTGATTATATGTATGTATGGTTGTATATGTGACTGTAAATGTCTATCTGGGATTCTGTGTGCTTGTGTATGAACTTTAGAGGTGTATGCAGGCATGTATGACTATAGATTTTTGTGTTGATGGTTGTGTAAATGTATGTGTGATTGTGACATTATTAAAATCCAGTTATAGGATCAGAAACCATTCCAGTCAGATAATAACCAGTGTTGGTGGTAATGTAGAGGAACTGAAACTCTTACACAGTGCTGATGGGAATGTAAAAGTCTGGCAGTTCCCCAAATGATTAAACATAGAATTACCGTATTACCCAGTACATTCACTCCCAGTACCTACCCAAGGTCACACAAAAATCTGTACACAGAGGTCACAGCAGCATTATTCATAATAGCCAAAAGGTGGCAATAACCCAAATGTCCATAGACTGACGAGTAGATATACAAAATGTGGTATATCCATACAATGGAATATCACTCAGCCATAAAAATGAAGTATTGATACATGCTAGAACATGGCTAAACCCTGAACACATTTTGCTAAAAGAAGCCAGATGCACAAAGACTATTATTACATGATTCCATTTATATGAAATGTCCAGAATAGGAAAGTCTATAGGACTAGAAAGCAGATTAGAGGTTTTTAGGGGCTTGGGGACAGAGGTAGACATGGGGGTGATAGTTAATGGGTATGAGAATTAAAGGGTACAAGGGTTCTCTTTGCAGTGATGAGATGCAAAATTGCAGTAGTGATGGTTGTAAATATCTGTGGATATATAAAAAAGCCACTGAATTGTATACCTTAAAAAGGTGGATTGTATGGTATGTGAATTGTATCTCAATAAAAGTCTTTAAAAAAAAGCGTTCCATGGTCACACATCTGAGGCTAACACTTCGTCAAGTGTTCTGATCTTGGCAATAAAATATTGTCATACTGGTTCCCTCAAACAGAGATGAAAGGAGCTGGCTCTGGGCTGGGCAGGTCCTTTCCTGTGACTGGGCAAGGTTAATCCTGCCGGGCATGGGAGCTGTGCCAGGGAGAGCCTTGTTATGCGAATAACTAATCTTATGTTTGTAGAGACTGTCGAAGCACTGATTAAGCAGCATGAACTTCACTTAGCACCCACGACTTTCCAATGTTATGTTTACGTAAAAAGTCCTTCCATCCACAAACACTATTAATCTTTAGGGAGGAGGGAGTTGCCAGAATGCAAAGCCACCCCCTCCACTGCACCAGGCTCTCTCTCTTTTCTTCTCTAGGCCTTCCCAGAGAGGGGGTATTTCCTCCTATTTGGTACATGGTACCTCACCAGGACTGAAATTGGTGGGCTTGTGTTGGAATTCTTTCTAATATGGAACAGTAAGGGAGGTCAGAGTCTCAGGTTTTGAGGTATCTTGGAGGGGAAGGGAGAACATGAGTGGAGGAGGTGGAGGAAGAGGAGGGAGGGGGAGGGGGAAATAGTGGATGACTCTGAGAGTGGGGAAGAGAGAAAGTGAGAGAGGCACAGACAGAGCCTCAGTGGGGGAAAGAGAAGGGTTCAGAGGGATAGAAGGAAGAAGGGAGAAGAAAGGGAAAATTCTGACAACTCATAAAAGAAAGACAACACAATAAGAAAAGAGCAAAAACAAGATATATTGAGTGGCCAATAAGTATATAAAAAGATCAACATCAACAATTATACAAAAATACAAGTTAAAACCACTATGAGATACCACTATAAACCTAAGAGATTGGCTAAGATGATACAGATGGACCATACCAAGTGTTGGTGAGCATGTGGAGCAACTAGAACTCATATACTGCTTGTGGGAATGTACAATGGTGCCACCACACTGGAAAACAGGTTGGCCATTTAAAAAAATAAAGTTGAATATACATTTATCATGCTACTCAGCAATCCTACTCACAAGTCTTTATCAAAGAGAAATGGAATCATGTCCATACAAGGACTTGTCCATGAATGTTCATAGCGGCTCTATTCATTTTAGACAGAAACTGGAAGCAACCCAAATGCCAAGCAACTGGTGAATGAATAAACAATTGTAGTTTAACGACAGTGGCATATGCCTCAGCAATACATGCAATGACATACATGAATCTTAACACCATCCTAAAAGAAGCAGGACATCCAGGACTACATGTGCTGTGATGCCATTTATATGACATTCCTAAAAAAGCCAAACTATAGTGACAGAAAACAGATGAAAGATTGCCAAGGGCCAGGGGTGGGGAAAAAGGATCGCAAAGGCAGAGCCAGAACTGACTACATGAATGAATGGATGAATGTCTGACTGGAGTGATAGGGAAAGAGAGGAAGATAGACAAAGGCAGAGAAAGAGGAAGACAGAAGCAGACAGAAATGAAGGCCCTGTGCGGGAAATGAAGACAACCACATGGGTAGATGGCCAGCTTCTGAGGAGGCAGGTCTGTTCCTGCCCCTGGCATCGAAGATGGAGGCCCGCCCTCCTGAGTGAAAGAGCCTAGTGAGTGGTTCCCTGCGGTCAACTGTGACCTCAGGTCCCTGGGCCCTAGAGGTTTGAGGCCAGATGGAGGTCTTCCAGCAACAGGTACTTCCTGGCACGGCGTTTGGGGATCCGAGCAGGTTTAGAGAGTGGGTGTGGATTTGAGGGTGAGTATTTCTGCTACAATCTAAAAACATTTTTCTTCCTTTTGAAGGAAATGACTCATTTCTAAAAGTCTTTATCAGAAATAGAAGCAACCACAGCTGTGTGGCCTCTGGGTGTTTTCAGGTCTTGAGGTTTTAAATGAGGGAGGAAGGTGGCGTGGAGCCTGGCACAGCATTGGTACAACATTCCGCTGGCCCCAGCGCCTTTCCCAGCAGCCACACAGGCGTAGAGAATGCAGCGCCCTCTCTGGACCTGGACAGGAGGTCTAGCTTCATGCTCAGGCATGTGCCTCTAGTGTTTACCAGGATGTGTGATCTTGGGCCAGTGATGGATTTCTGGGGATCTTCCATTTCCTCACCTGTACAATGGGGCAATAATGGCATCTCTCTCATAGAGTTGTTATCTGGAGGAAACAGCACAACCCATGTAAGTTGTTTAGCACATGTAAGTGCTCTATGAATACGACTTAGTTGGATCTGCAAAGAGATTAGCTGCTTGGTGTGGATGGTGTGGATGGAGCACTTCTTTTTATGCAACAGTTCTGCAAGGCCTTGGACTGAGAGCAGGATCCAAGAGTGTAGTGGGGGATGGGAACAAGCAACCCTACCTCTCCCGCTCTTCTGGAGGAAAATGTCCCCCTCCCAGCCCTTCGTGGCACGCAGCTATTTCCTCCAGGGCTCACACCTTGGTGGGCATGGGGTGACTGTTTCCTCAGTAGAGTGTGGTCCATTCCAGAGAGGCCCATTGTCCTGCATCTCAAGATTCCCAGGAGCTAACAAGGGCCTTAACATACATAGTGTTCCTTCAGGTTTGGGAGACGAGTTGCATTTTAGAGACAGAAGATTAGACATTATTTGGTAGCTTCTGTACCCACCATTGTGGATAATCTGGAGTTGACCATCTGTCTTTATAAAATTAAAAAATCTTTCCTCTATAGATCAAGAGACTTAAGAGCCACATGCAAGAATTGCAATGCGTGAACCTTATTTGGCCCTATGCACTGGGGTTAATGCAGCCGTGGGCAAACTATGGCCCGCGGGCCGGAGGGAGCAATAAAGTGATAAGCTCCTGGAAACTGTCTACTTGCCTGGGACTTTGCCTCTTATCTGACTAACTTGCCTAGTTCCTTCTTGGCACCTATCACAGCCTGTGATCGTTTCCTC